TTATTAAGCAAAAACAACAAAATTTTTATTTTGAAAAAAGTTGTTACCCATACCAAGTTAAGATAAGTTAAATTTTTAGGACAAAAAACTATATTATTTTATTTTATTTTTTGATTTAGATTTCATATTATAAATTTCTATTCACTGCAAAAACAATGCAAATCAAACATGTTTTATTTCAATTTAATGAATTTGGTCAAAGTTAGACTATTTAAAACTATGAATTATAAATACCAGAAACCTTAAAAATAAATTAGTAAATAGGTGGAAGTGCAAAACAAGTTAGATTTCTAGAGTAATTAAGTTTTTTTTGATACATGNTAGATTTCTAGAGTAATTAAGTTTTTTTGATACATGGAAATTTAAATTTTATTACTCATGTCATTTTTGAAATGACCGTTTCAATTATTTTTTATCATTATTTTGTAGAAAACTTTATTTTTTTTGCTCAACTTAGAATTTTTTTCACTTTGGAATTGTGAAACACCTGTATGAGAGTTATACCTTATACTTTATTCCATGACANTAAAACACCTGTATGAGAGTTATACCTTATACTTTATTCCATGACAGAATATGCGTAATACATGAATTCATGTAGAATATGCATAATGCCATAGAAAATTAAGTATTAAGATAACCCTCATACAGACATTTTAACAATTCCTAATGAAAAATAACCAGTTTCACAAAAAAAACCTTGATCCCTCATAAAATGCATTGCAATCATGCCTCCACTAGTATAGGTCTTGGGGTTAGGTCTAGTATGGAGTTTTTGTTCTGAATAACTATTATTTCTCCCTTAAAAAAAATAATAATATCTTCATCATGTAATAATTTTTATTGGAAGAAATGTATCCCACCTAAACTACTTTCTTTCAAGCACAAGAAAAACTGTAAAACCTAGCACTGACACAATGAAAAGAGAATAGGTAAAAATTTATTTATTATTTATTTATTTTAATTTATAAAATTTATATATATAATTTTTTTTTAAATTATATGTTAGCATCCTCTAATATTAAATAACTATCAGTTATAACAATTAAATATTGCAAAGTGTATGAACCTTATATCATCCTATGCCCTTTTCATGGCACGGCACTGATGCCAATTTTAAAATACAGTACAACCTGGATAAGTTAAGGCTCAAGGGAAATTATTTTTTTAACTTAATAAGGTTTTTGAACTATTAAAAAAAAATTTGACTTAAAATTATTTAAGAATTTGAGTTTGTATTCAACACTTATAAAAATATAACAGATTGATTCCAATTGGCAATACTAAAATTTGTGAAGTTTTAATGAATTTATGTATTTATTTTAATAATTAACAGCTTTTAAATTTAAACTAATTGCTTTAACTAGTCTAACCTACCACATTCAAATCTTTTAGCTATACAACTACAAATAATTTATTTGTATTATCTATAATATTTATTTCTTTTGAGTAAAATTTTCTTTTTCAAGGAACGCAATATTCTTAACCTTATCAAAATTCTACTGATGTAAACATATTATCTATAAAAATAATAATTTTACTATAATTTTTTTTTAAATACTTGAAAGTAACATATAAAATAACAATTACTTATATCTTAAATTTTAAGATATTTTCTTACTACTCCCTCTAATATTACATCATAAAAATAGTACTATAATAACTACATGTATTACTTTATTACATTGCCCTATTTTAATTAAAAAATTTAACAATTACTATTAGATTTATTTATTTTTTTGCAATCTAATATTGTTCAATGAAAATTCAAATGAGAAATTTAGCTACAATACTGTATTTGTAGTATAACAATTCATTCTAATGTTGATCTGATATGAAATTAAAGCTTACTAATGTAGTATGTTAAGACAAGTGTATACAAAACCAATAGACATCAAAATTGTACAAAAACTATAACTGAAATCAAATTTATAACAAAATAAATTAACTTACATGAAATAAAATTTGTAATACTAAAAAAGGAAAAATTATTTCATTAAACTCACTTTAGTTTGTTCAAGAACTATATGTTAATTCGATAGATGACTTTATTATGATAGACAGTAATAAAAAATCATGATTACAATCTTTTTTTGTTTCTTAATATGATTAGGATATTAATCTTATGATATTGAAGTATCTTAGTTTACTTATAAGTGCATACTTAATAATACAGATGATAACTTACAATAGCAGGTATCAAAACTAAAAACTGAAATCAAATTAAGGAATAGATTATTAATTATTAAAAAAAAACTAAAAACTGAATTTATATTAAAACAATTTTTTTAACAAATTTATTTACTGTTGGCAACTTTCTAAACAAAATTCAAAATAATTTTAATTTATGCAAATTTTTATATATTTTAAGGACACTTGTTGCTATTTAGTGAAATAAATTAAGTGTTCTAATCCATGCACGCTTAATTAAATAATAATAGCTATGAGCACCATATCAAAATGGTTGCTTAATATTTATTTATTATCTACAGTGAAACATAACACAATCATAAGTTCTCTTTATAAAATTGTGTATTAATATTCAGTAGCTGATCCATACAATTATTAAATTTGAGAACTCTAATTTAACTAAGATAAAAATTATTTTAATTAATCAGTGAAAAGTTTAAAATCAGTTTTAAAATTACATTATTTTAAATTTAGCAATTTAAAAATAGTATTTTAACATACTTTCATAATAAAGGTTATTGAAGTTTATTACATACAAAATGTTTTAAAATATCATATTATTAATATCATTTCATTTATAACATTCCCAATTATACAAAATTGTTTAATTTCAATATGGATATAATGTCAAATTTTTGTCTATTTGCTAACCAATTTAAAAAAATATATTCAAATAGTTAAATTTAGATAATTACTTACAAAATTGTTAAATATAGTATACCAATATTGTTCTGTATATTATAATCATTTTGGAATAGTTGGAAAATAAATTAAAAATCTATAGCCAAAAAAAGATCATCAATACATGTTTTTGGAGCCTGGAGTTTTTTTAAATCTGGCCTTAATTATACTACACATCTAATATTACATCATTATATAGACTTACTTTTTAAGTAAAATGTCACTACAGCAAAACTTATTTTTCTAAAAAGAGAAAAAAGTTAAGTTTTTCGGTAATTTTGTCATTCGACAGCAGCAAATCCAAAACTGTAAATATCTTCGAAAATTAATCTCTTTAATTTTTCGGTAAATTTCATTTTTTCTGCAGCTATTTCATAAAATAAAATTATTAAGACAGATCTATAAAATTTACTTCATTGTCTATTGTACTCGCCTATTGTTCGATATTCTTTAAATTTAATTATTTCAATAAACTTTCAAATATAATTTATTAATTGTAACAACATACAAATAAAACAGTTTTTTATTAATTTACTGCACTAAAACACTATATTTAGATAATAATTAAACAATGTAACATTATTAATGTACAAAAATGTTTGACCACGCAATCTTGTAGTACAGCCAGCAAATTAGTACTGTACCAGTTTAGTTTTTTAAGGTTATGTTTAAGATAATTAAATAACGAACAAAAATCTTTTAAAAGACGAGCGTTTATATGGTTATGTTAAAGCTTTTAATTCATATCAGTCAACAAAAGTTAAAAAGATTATTTTGTGTAAAGAATAATTACGATAACATTATCGTAGTATTTGATTGTATTTAGTTATTATACTATGGTGAAGTGAGGCTAAGAAATTTATGCTTTAATCTTACATACCCAGACTGCTATTAATAATACACCGAAAATCCGATTTGTATCTATTATTGTTATCACTCATTTAGTGCGTCGTAAATTTTTATGGTTAATTTACCTGTCATAACTTGATCAATAAAATTTTGTTTATGCAACAGCAAATAAAAATAATGACTTCTGTATTTAATACAGTAAAATAACAATAGAAACTTGGCATAAAATCACTCAACTTTAACAAGCTGTAACGGACTAACGGTTAATCGGAAAAAAAAAATTGTACGAACAAAGTTGCTTGTAATTTTTTTTTCTATCATATTATCAAATCAAAAATAGTGGTTCCCATTTAAAAAAATTATTATTATTATTATTATTATTCATATTATTGTAGAGTTTTATAAGTTTAATAATTTTTCTCTGTACAAAAATTTAATATTTTCAATAGTTACTGAGTAAACGAGTGTCTTATCCTTAATGAATCACCCTGTATTTATATATATATATATATTAATTATACATAAATGGTTAAATTCGACTGAATAATATATTGTTTTAATTGTCGTACTTTTGTTATTTCGAGCGTATTTAAAAATAAAATTTCATACGTTGTGTTAATAATAATAATTGTGTTGTTGGAAATATGCTGACCTAAGCGTCTGGTAACCGACGATAAAATACTAAGTAAAAAATATATGCATACAACGTTATTAGTGTACGTAGACATCTTTGATGTTTAAAATATGCTTATCTAAGAGTGATGAAATACATAGAAAATTATAGATTTGATAAAACGCAGACGGCAATTATTATCATAAAATGTAGACGGTAATGTGAGTTATAATATAGCAGTACTTTTGTTGTTGGAAATATGCTTAGCTATGCGTCAGGTAGTTTAGATATGTAGTTGATGATAGCAATTGTGTCTCATAAAAATGTTTATCATTTTAACTTTTTAATTTCAATTTAAAACATCATTTTAGAACCTCATTTGGCTACACCTCTTCCCTACGCAAACGATCGGAGGCTGTTCGTTTAACAATATATGCGATATAGCAATGTACTCATGGGCAGTGAAGAAAGCTTTTGCGTTTAGGGGTACAGGACATCAAACACGTGGACTCAACGCGTACTATAGGCACGTTCAAGGATTAACGCATACTTACAATGGAAAATTAATTTTTAATTATTCCGCTTAACAATCAACTTATTAGATACAATATATAGAGACGTGCGGCAAGTTTGTTTATGTCGGGTTTCATCCGCACCCCTCTCATTAGGTTAGTTTAAGTTAAGTTTCATTACCACTTCGCTCATTAGGACTTGTTGAAGGAAGAGGAGATCCCCTCCCCCCGACTTAAGTTAGTTTTCATTGGGTTTCACCCATCCCCCGTTTTGCTGCGCTACAGTGTTTTATGTATATTATATACATAAAAAAATATGCATATAAAAAACTTATTATTTGGGTTCGCGCTTAAGTTTGAAACAATGAAATAGTAGTGGGTTTGTGTCGGTTGTGCCAAACCATGACGGGCGCGCTCGTATGCGCTCTACGCGTTATCGTTTGTCGGGACGGCTAATTACCGATCTTGGCATATCCGACTGGACACAGCCGAAGCGTTGGGGGCGCGGTCGTTGGACCGTTGTCGTCTAGCGCGCCGTTCGTACGTCTCGGTGGAATATCGCCATTAATGACGAAACGGAACGACAGATCGAGACTGATGATACATGGAGACTACAAAGACTCCTCTTAATCGAAACAGTTGAACCGGACGACAATCTCGTGATTCATATCGATGTATATATATCGATATGAAGGTGTTTTATGTATAGATCGTTAGAAAACTCACGATTTTCTCGAACTCAGAAGCGAATCAGTGTAAGTCACTAAATATAGAAAATGAGATAATTGGGATTTTTCAAAACTTGTTGTAATAAAATAGAGTCCCGTAAAGGTACTAATAACTTTTTTTATTGAGATATAACATACTGAAAAACTTAAATCTAACACAGTATAATAAAAATGAAAGCGAAAGACTTCGCCGGCCGTGGGCTCGTGGGGCCGTAGATTTGCGGGTCCGAGACGAAACCCCCTCCGGAGGACCTTAGGAATAAATGATATGATGTTCGCTGAGCGGCCTCAAATGTCGTAAGCGTGATGTTTAAAATAACAATTTTTTTGCTACGCAGCCATAATTCACGTCATTTGTTTTCGATGTATTATAACGCATGGTTAATTGTTGGTAATAAAAAAAAAAAAAAGGCCGGTTATGATTAGAATCGTACAGATTCGTATAATTAAAATTGAAGAAAAAAACAAAAAACCGTATGATTAGGGTAATTATCAATCCAATTAGCCTGAATCGGATGATACAAGGTTTACTCGTAATCGCCAAGATCGTAATTTTCGTTGTCGTATCGATTATGGTCGGGTTAATTGTCGTAAAAATGAACAAGGTCGTTGTTAATTTTTAAATCAAAAAAATATATTAAAAACTAGTAAATTTGTCAAACGACAAAAACGATGAAATTTCTTTTAGTTTGCAAAAGCCCGTACGATGGGAGCATACGAACGTTTTTCTTTTCGACAAACGGTCGAGTCGGTTTAAAATAATTACGTTAATAAAGTTTATTAATAATACTGCTGCTACTGCTACTACTACTACTACTACTACTACTACTGGAAAGTTGTCTTTTGTAAACACAAGGAAAATGTGTCTTTGCCGGAATATTAACAGCAATATTAGCGGTGTCGTAATTACGATATTATTTATTACTGTTTACTTTACGAAGCAAATCGTTAACGTCGATATAGTCGTAAGGATATTTGTCGATTTTATACGTACAAATATATGTGTGTGTGGATGTATTCCAGTCTGATCGTGTGTTTATACGTTGTTGATTTCAGCCAAAAGGCACTTTTCAAATCGAACTGCTGGCCGTCGAACCGTGCTCCAACAGTACCACTGAACCGTTCAAACTGTGCCTGACCGTGAACAAACGGGATTCGACGGTGTACATCTTCGCCTCCATGAAGATTCCGTTCGACAACAGCCTGTCGGTAATAAACAGTAACCGAGTGGTGGGCGTTCATCGTCTTCACCAAAATTAACCATATCGTTTCCGCCAAATTTAATTAAGGTAGGTTTTTCGTTTCCAAGTTAAACCGATAGTTTATACCTGTCTATAAATAGAAGTTTGAGAACCACTGTTTAAAATATTTGTCAAAATAACCCAATAATAATTATCTACTAATCATTTAATCGAACTTTTTATTAATTTTTTATTGTTATTAGATAGCAGTGCATTGATAATTGTGAATTGTTTCATTCACATTTTAATGAACAATTTTTTAAGGCGCATTGTTTTATTATTAATATGTTTTTAAAAATTTTAATAGAAAATATTTAGTCTTATATTTACATTAAAATATATAGTTTTGATAATGTAGCCTCAAAAAGCGTACGGAATAAAATTGAAATCAGTTACAGAAAAACAAAAGAGACAATTGAAATATATNAAAAAAAAAAACACATCTTAGTAAAACCAATACCTTCTCAGCTTCGCATCGAAGCTAAAATGAAATTAGCCAATTTTGATTTGTGAAATCAGTTTCAACAACTATCGGAAAATGTATAGATGATAAATCTATTTTTTATTATATTATTACACTTATTAGATATTTTTTAAACTTAATATTAGTATTTGAATTTTGTTTCAAAGTTTTGATGACTTTATTTTCTTATAAACTATATTTTTATTATTTTTTACAGTTATATATAAACCTACTTATAATAGTTATCTATTATAAATTATTTACCTTAGGTAAAACGTCATATTTTCTTTATAAAGTTATTCCAATATGATAAAATAAGTAATTATTTAAAACTACATGATCATATTTAGGGGTGGTTAAGGGGACCAACAATTCTTGGGGGCGAATGTCATTTGATAGTGATGGGACAAAAAATTACTTTATTTTGCTAATTAATATCCCACACAAAAATCTTAAATACAGACCTGAACATAACATTCAATAAAAGCCAAACCATTTGGTACGGCAGGTACCTAACCTGTCCGTATGCTAAAACCGATACTGGTTCGTCGTGGTGACCCATGGATAATAATAAATGGTTCTCAAATTTTTTTTTAGATAGACTGATAGAAGATCAGTTTGGCGGAAACGAAAAACCGACCTTATTCAGGTTTGTCGGAAACGATAATCTCCCCGAGTAGTTCGACCGGATGATCGATTCGTTATTAACAGACGCGTTTATCCTCTAGAATAACTATGATTCATGTGGGGGAAGCGTCCATTGGTGAAAGTATTGTTTTCGCGGTGTTAAAATCGCCATTTTTCGTATTATAATTTTTCACTCGTGTTGTCGTCGTCGTCCTTATAATACGATAGGATACGATAGACAAAAATAATAAAAAATACCATAATAGAAAACGAGGTAATAAAAGACAAGACGGTAAAAGACGAGGTAACAAACAATGAANCCATAATAGAAAACGAGGTAATAAAAGACAAGACGGTAAAAGACGAGGTCACAAACAATGAGTCAATAACAGACAGGATATAATAACATTTTTGTGTATATTATTAATATTTTCAGGGTGAATTTTTGCTGATTTCGTTAACAACCAACAGATTTATATTCGTAAAAAAGAAGGGTAGGCCCTTTTAAAAAAAAAAAAATGTATATATATATATTCTAAATTCCAACGTTTTTTTTTTCACAAAAATCATATACACCCGAAATTTTTTCAAATGGATCGGTGCAGACGATTATTATTGAAAATGCCGTGTTTTACGATATATCCGTCTATAATTGAGGTTTTTTTTTCAAATTTTCCTTGGCGATAGGTTGACGAACTAATACGTTGAAATCCGGCTTCTTCGGTCCGACAAACAAAGAATATCTGGCGAGAGCTGAAAATGTTCGCGGATAGACGTAAAATTAAAAAAATATGTCGTCGTAAAACCAATACCCTCTTAGTTTCCCCAAAATCATAACCGTTTTAGGAGGTAAACGATAAATAAACCATCACATATATTGCACGTATACATATAGTGGTATTCAGTAAGTAAGGAAACGAGTCGATTGTTTCATACAACGAGAACAAAAGAACCCGTTTCCTTACTTACAGAACATTCTATATTTATATACATTGTAGTAATAATTAGATTTTTATACGCGTAACGTTTCTGCGCAGAACTCATCAGCTTATTAGATATAAGAAAAAAAAATAAGACACTTTCTTTGACTCTACTTTCTTGGCAAAATATTTAATATTTGTTGCAAATTTGAAAAAAAAAAAAAAGAGACACTTCATCATGAAATCAATACGTTTGGTTTGCAATTTTTTTAGAACAAAAAACGTATAAGGTTCACAAACTATATAAATACCTTTATTTAATTAATTAATTACCCGTATTCAATCGATTAAATACATTAAAGGATAAAAAGAATGTAATTTTTTTTTTTTTAAGTTACACACGTATTTAGAGCGAAAATTCATCAACAGTCGTATGTCACTGTGTTTGGAAAATGTATTTTTTTCAGTTTTCGTTTATCCACGATTTCTTTTTCCGTTTCCAGTTTTCGGTGAACATGGCCCGCCTGAAAAACGGAAAATACCAAAACAACTGTTTCGTGGCCACCATGCCCAGGGCTTGCGACACCATCAGGAGCATACAGATGAGCAGCTGGGCCAAACTGACCAAACGAATGGGAGCTCCGATCGACTGCCCTTGGCCCGCCGTACGTCCAAACAGTAAACTCGTTCCGTTAGTTTTATATTAAGTTTTCCGTTGACAATATCCAACGCGTACGTTTTTTCGTCTGCAGAGAAACTACTCGGGAGTGGCGTACGACTTGCCGGACTTGGACAAGTTCCGGTGGGCTCCGGAGTTCTTCTACGGCACGTACAGAGTTCAAATAGTGTTTCGCGACATCCAAAACGCGCACGTGGGTTCGGTGATGTTTTACATAAAGTTGAAAAAAAGAAACACTTGAAAAAAAAAATGAAAACCAAGAAAATGTCTCCATATTTTAATTCAGTACACAATTAATGTTATAGTAATATCTATTTTGTTTTGTTTCGTTATTTAAAAATAAATATACGTACGCACATTTAAAATCGTTATTATACATATGTGTGTGTGTCAATTTATGTTCTTATGCGTGTATGTATTTATTTTTTCATTCATTTATCCATTGTTCATTTCTCTTTTTTAAGAGAAAACGAATTAATTTTGAATGAATTTTCAAAAGATATAAAAGTCTTTTATTTGTAACGTTTGATTATTTAATTGTCGAATATAATAATATAAACTGGTGTGATCTGGTAGGTAATAAATACCGTTTTCACGACTGATCCGAGTAGTTAAAATTGTTAAATACCCATATTTGTATTGATTGTCTAAAGATAAAGTCCAATTACAGGCGTTGTGTCGACCAACCGACAGTTGCGTTCAAAAGCTTACCCGGCGGTCGAAATTTACGCAAACGGCCATTCGGCAAGTAGTAGTCATTACGCGGCGTATCGGAACACCCTACCGGTGGCTTCCAGCGGGCCACGATTTAAATACAACAGTACGTCGCGATTCAAATGACCGCCTGTTGCCGAGTAGTGGGTCTTTTTCGGCGGACGGGTTTATCCGCGTAGAGAAATTCGCTGTCCGATTCTGTCGGTTAACGCTCCGTCACAGGTGATATCTTTAAACGATTGGCCCACCGGTCATCGTGACAGTGAAAAACGATAACAAAACAACAATTGTGACGCCGTAACACGATCGGGTTCGGTTCGTACGCGGTAGAAATGTATCGTTCGTTTTGACAGTATCCGTCATCCATTCGTATCCATTAGGGTGGTCCTTATTTTTCAAACTCAATTTTTTTAAGACAGTACCCTCTAGATTGGTTAAATACTATTAAAATGTAATGTAGGTAAAATTTGGAAGTTTTTATTCAACCCCTTCTGGTGCCGCATTAGGGTTGAAATATGGCACTTGATGGTTGTTTTTGCTTTTTTTGTGTTTAACTCGATAACTATTACACTTAGCGCTAAAATGAATAGAATATTAATTATGGAAATTATTATTGCCTACAAAAAATTATTAATGTAATAAATCCATTATAGAATATAAATCCATATTCTCAAAAATATTTTGAGAAAAATAACTTAACATAAAAATTTTTCAAAATTTAACATAAATATATTTTTTTAAATATTTTAATATTTTTACTGAGTGGTTGAAGTTTCATCGAATTTTTCCTTTAAAATTGGTTTTAGTAATATTTCCTAAAAAAACTCATATTATATTTCACGTTAGTGCAATTATATATTGATGTATTAGAATTTATGGCGCGAAAATCAAATATCAGTTTACCTGTACTGTTCTAAATGCTATACTTATTATTTTGAACGTGTGGAATTTACTGTGATTATCCATAGAAGATAAGAATTGTGGCATTATTGTTGTTTGTGTAATAATAGGTAACGATAAAAGTTCTTACCAATAATCATTTTTCATGGACTAATATCAGATATTTTCTTGTAATTTAGTTTTTTGCTTATTATTGTGTCAAGTTTTAAGATTTGTTAAAATATTAGTTTAGTGATACAGTTTTTTTGAAATTTTATTTTATTTAAATATGTCACGTAACCAAGTGTGTTTAGTAGGAGCAATGAATTATCAAATTACTGGAATTAAATTACCTTCAGTTAAAAATGTTTTGAGTGTATTGTATTATAATTTAAGATTTGTAAAATTGAATTTGCATGAAAGTGCGGCGCTTGCTGTTGACGAGTGTCTAATTTACTGGAAAGAAGCTCGAATACCTACGCAAAATCCAGCTAATATTATAAGGAAATTAAAAATGTTTTACGATGAACTGAGAAATTTAGAGGAAAATAAAACCAGGACCAGCGACTTATACAAGAAAAGAGAACAAAATTTTGTAGACCAAATCGAAGAATTATTTGATATAGCTCATGCTAATGCAATCAGTCTAATGAAGATCCAGGAAGATATTGATTTTTTGCGACTTCAACGAACTAAGGGACGTCCTGGATGTATGATGGGAGTAGATATGAATTTAACCCAAGCAGAAAAAAAAATGCAAATAAGACAAGAACAGAAAAATAAAACCCAGCACAGGGGGGTCGCGGCACAGTGGTGACGTGACATAGTTGGATCAAGTATAATGATATCTGACAGTGATTAAAATCACTATCAAAAAAAAAACGCTTCGATGCAAATCTTTAGATAGTGTTTAATTTTAAAAAATTGGTGGATTATTCTAAAAGCTTCATAAACTGCTAGTTCCTTATTAATATCCTGATTAAGATAAAGTATGTCGAATGAAAAAGGGATTATTAAAAGATACTACTTCTCATAAAAAAATTGTTAGGAAACGGGTTACTATTGTTCTCACTGTTTGCCTTACTTACTCGACTCCCCGTATACTTCGATACCGTATTATAGTATTGAAGTGTTGCATACATACATTTTGTACTATCCGATGTTTTAAACCCAAAAACAAAATGAATAATATTTTGCTGATTCGACCTACTCGACTTAACACGACCAACGGAGGAATTCACCGTTACGCAGTGAATTTCTTAGTGATCCGTAATCTGATAATTATTAATAGTGATTTCACATAATCCGTTGGAATTATTTTTACCATCGATAATTTTTTAACGGCAACAGCGCGCTAAAAGAAGTACAAATGTGTAAATGTCAAACACATCCGTACCCAAAAGACCGGTTATCGTCATCGTCGTTATTAACCGGTGCACCGGTTACCGACTGACAATTATTTACGCCGTTAAACGCTTGTTTTTCAATTATCATTATTATTATTTTTTGCCGCGTATACACATTTGACACGACCGACATTTGAAAACGAATCGCTGAAAAACCAACGCGGTTTTCGTTTTCGTGTCCGACACCGAGAGACGTTTAACACTTCGTCCTCCGATCGTCGGTTCTCCTCCGACAAAATTCGTAGAACGGACGGCAAACGTACTTTTGCAGCACGGCGGCGGCGCCAGTTCCGGGCCCGACCGGACGCATCTTCAGCCGGCGGCAACAGTCGTCTTCGTCGTCGCGTCCCGAGCCCTGCCGGACGCAACGCCTCTTGGCGTTCTTCCCGATCCTCCTCAGAGTCCTGTACTCGGACTCGTACGCCCTGTACGCGTCCACCGTCGTCTCCAGCCACCGGCGTTCACAGACGGGCGCGCCCTCGTTGATGGTCTGCATCAGTCGCGTCACGTAGTGTCCGACCGCCGGCAAACGCCGGTCCATGACCGCCGTCTCGTCGTCCGTGAACGCGTATCCCAACAGTGCTCTCTTGTCGTACACGGCGTGCAGTTCCAGCACGTTGTTTCTCAACGCACGACACAGCCGGTACAGTCTGAACACGCTCTTCAGGTCCACCACGCAACTGGCGGTGGCGGTTGTCGAATTATTCGTATGATTTTCGCTCTCGCGACCGTCGTCTGGGTCGTCACGATTATTAGTAGTTGGAGGTGGATGAGGTGGTGGTTCTTTTTCTATGGTAATTTTTTTTTCCTCCCCGGTCACGTCCAAACGTTCGGCGGCTTTCTCCTTGTCCGTCTCGGACGTTCTACTGGGATTTCTCGTGTCGTTGGCCGTCCGATTCTCGTTCTCGTCTTTTGAGCGCGACCGCGACCGCGACGACGACCACGTCGAATTTTCCTTTTCCGTTGTCGGGTCAGTTTTCACGGACCGTCCGTTCGGACGCAAAAAACAAGAGCCCATCCGACGGCGAATCGCACGGGACCGCCTATGCACGGGGGGCGGCGGCACCGTTATCTGAACGTTTACAGACGAGGACGCAAAAAGTGTAACGGCGCATTTTGTCGGTGGCGAAATTGTGTGCGGCAAAAAAAAAAAAAATAAACATATTCGTTTCCAAGGTTTTGGGTTTTGTAAATAATACGGAGTGGATTCCAATCGGCCAGAACGTATAAACGATTTAAACTATTAAAATAGGCTGATTCAAAAAAAATAACGTTATCAGCAGAATAAAATGTATGATAGTACTGTTTGGTACTAGAAACTAGTTTGGTAGTTACTCTTTTATAGTTGGTTAGTAGTCACTGTTATATAGTAAGTTAGTAGTAACTAAATTGATTTTTTACTTTACGATAATCATTAAAAGGTCGTTATAAAAAAATACTCATAGCTTATTGGTCGTTTCGAGAAACACACGACTGAAAACACTGTGATTTTACAAAAAAAAAAGTAAACATTTAAACCTCTCTGTCGTGTTAAAAACTCGACGGGACCGATCGGAATATAAACTTCCGCTGTCACCCTGTGGCGATATCGTCCGTTACTCGAATGAAAAACTTTAAACGTGATTCGAACAACACCACGCGTTTGTTGAGTTTGTGATAAATAAAAATAAAAAACTTTGGTGAGTGAATAACCTCAATGACTTAGTAATAACAATATAACCAAGTTCATTAACTTTATTATTATCATTATAATTATCACTATCTTTGAAATTATAAGTTGTTTTAGTAGGTAAATTATTTTTTCTTCGTATAAAATTAAAATATTTAGTACAGTTAATAAAATGAAAATTATCAATTATATTGTTCGTTCAACATTTTAATTACCATATTCAGAAACTCGTTTTATAATTTTCAATTTTAATTCGAGTACGTGTTTAATCGATTTTAATTCGGTTTATATCTATCAAAACAACACACTTGTGTACTTTACTCGATTACTTTATTAAATCGATCGTCGTTACAATTGATTGCGATCATTGAACGCGATTGTTGTTCCGTCGTCCGTCGTGCGCCCGTTTGTTCCATACGACCGCGGTGTTCTTTTTCGAAAACAGTTTGAGACCGATCTCCAGCCGTTCCAGACAAGATTTGATCTCGTTCCGTCTGCGTTTCGTTTCGGCAGTCGACCCGGCGGCGGACAAAGCGTTCAGCTCCTCGACTTTTTCCACGTACTGCCGTCTGACGTTGGCCAGGTGGTGCAGTCGTTCGTCGTCGGGCAACAGGGACCG